TCATGTTATTGAAGGCTTTTAGCTTAAATGAAAATTTGGGGATTTAGAATAAATAAATACCATTTGGTGAATAGATGCTTAGATGAATAGGAACAGGAGAAATATGTTTTGTTCTCCCCGTAACTCTATCAGTTTCATCTTGCATTTCCAAGGCTGCATAAGAAATAAGATGGAAGCCATTCATAATCTTATTCTTTGAGCTCACCACTTTCTGAAATTATGAATGATCAAATGCCATGTGTGATATTATGAACACAACTGGACTATCTATAGAAACAAGAGAGAAGCAGGGGCAGTTAGTAGGAGGATGCTCATCATAGCTATATAATTGATTAATTTCTCAGTTTTTTTTTTCTGTCAGCAGAACAGTTTGAAGTTACACTTGATATATGTTTGACACTACATGATTAATTATCAATCTTCAATCATAACAATTAGATGCAACTTTATCCCAATCAAATCAGTCCCCACTCATGCCAGGTTCTTTCATGGGCACGGGGATAAGTACAACAACTAGAAATGTAGAAAGACTAAACGAAATACAGCAAGCCACAAAAATCAGAAGTAAGATCACAGCAAAACATTTCTTAACAGAAAATATCAAATTCTGCACCTACAGAAATCGGTGAACCGCCTCTGAGGCANAATGCCCGAAGATGGCATAACCCTGCTGTCCTCGGTCAGTTTGCTGCAATTGCAACACCAATGGCCTCCTAGTGACGATGCCTAACATAAAAATACCAGACGATTTATATCATCTTTTTAGAGAGGACCAAATGAACTCATGAATAATTGTGTACGTTCAAATTCAGCGTACGTATCAAATTGCAAAGGACCAACCAGAGCCTCGAGGAAGAAAATCTCGCCCTACAATGCTCTCGAGCACCGATGACTTTCCCGAACTCTGATTTCATTTCAAATTCTGCACCTACAGAAACCCACGACGGCGACAGAGGGCAGAGCGTCCCAAAGAGAAGAGAAAGCGAGGTCGTTTCCTCCGTAGTCACCGAGGTCGGTGTAGGGCCTTTGTATTCTATTCACCAGCCCTATCAAACTCTTCATTGTTGCCATCTCGTTTTGCTCAAAATTCAACTTACAATAACAGATGAAACAACTAGGTTTCTTCAAAATTTATGTTGCAGATAAATTGTGATGTAGCTTAGCAAACAAGCAACTACACGAGGAAGAAGAAAATGAAGAAGGAAAGACGCGCTCTACTTTAGAGAGAGAGGCTGGAGTTGTTGAAGTTGGACCGGGAATTTTCAAAATGAAATCTATATATATATATATAATTGCTAGCTAAGCAATAAATTTTACCTAATAAATTTTACCTATGTGGCAAATCATTAATAAAACCTAATAAATAGAACTTAATAAATATTATTTATGTGGCATTAATACACTCAATCTCATTAATAAGAAAATATTTCATTCATTTTTTTGGGTTAATTAAGACAAAAACCATTATGTTTTAAGTTAATTGATTAATAATTATATTTTTTATTGAATAATATAATAGTTAATATTAAAATTAGTAATTATATTTTATACTAAATAATATATGAAAGTTACATAAAATTATTTTTTATACTAAAATCAATATTTTTTTATATGATGAAGCGGTTGTTTATTAATAAATTAAATTTTTTTATGTCATAGTAAAATTTCTTAAAATCACATAAGCAATTGTTATAATAAATGTAATATTTTTCAGCTAATTAATTGGTCAT